TAGTTCAGAAACACATTTCATGATGTTATCGAAACGAAAGCACTAACGAGTTACATTTAAAGGGAAACCGGCCTTTAGACCATTCAATTAATTGTGCTACGTAAGTGATTTGTAAGAAGATGACGTCGAACGCGATCTTAATGTCGTTGTCAAGAGCTGGAAGCAAAAAGCCCATAATAGACAAACATGGAGAAGTTCATTGGACCAGGTCCAGGCCCACCAGCGGCTGTAGTGCCTCAGATGATGATGTAAGTAATATATTACTACTAGTTGAGTTATACCAACAAAAAAGCGCTTTTAAATAGCGGATTTTTTGTGGCATAAACTTCTTGTGTGATATAAAGTAGGTCACATCTGTGGCGAGGACGGAATAACATCAGCTTTTCACCGTTTTCCAATATTTTTTACTATTTACGGTCCTGCATGGTGTAAACGAAAGGGAAAACATATTGTATTGTTTCAATAACAATCATTTGTACCCCTGTCTTATATAATTTTCGCTCAATTTTGATACAAAATGAGTGTTGTATTTTAATCCCACACAATTTATTGATGTCTGGAAAGAGAAATAAACCTTTTTACGATTTTTTTCAATTCTAGACTTCAAAATGGCTGATGGATAAATGAATTAATTTATATCAATCTGGATTGGCTAAACTTGCTATAAGTAGCAAAAAATTTCTTCTAAGAATCTGTCAACCCACGTCAAGGCAGTTTATCTTTAGCAAAAATAGCAATAAATTCGGCTTCCCGGACCAAAGCTACAGGCTACAGACCGTCAAGACGTTATCTTGAATAATGGTTATTTCACTACAATTAACTCTGAAAAAACCTACGTTAAGATAGTCAAAGCATGAAAAAAACTTTAAAAAATCAACAATACATTTAACGACAACATAGGGTAAAAATTAAATTCGTAAAGCAATCATCACGCCTGTATTTAATTTATCTATCATATAATTTCCTTTAAATTTATACAAAAATAATTCATTTTACCAAAGCGTCTATTAACTACGCAATTAGTTGGGAAGCAGACTCGCGTTTCATTTTTAAGCTTCCTTTTGCTTATGAAGTACAAGAAAAACTTGATAGCATATTGGAAAAGTTGGTCTGCATCTCTCCTATACAAAAGAACCTCCAACTCTGACGACAGCTAAAAATATACCAAATGCTGTCAGCGGCATTCCGAGACTTTTATTATAAAAGTTCTTTAATGTAACATGTGACTACAAATGTGATAAGATGACGTTTTCAACATCTGTTAGTTAAAATTGAACCGTTTATTTATTGCCCAAGCGAAAGTAAACATTACAAAAGTTTTAATACAAATTAATGCATAGTAAAAAATATGTCTTAATTATAAGAAATAAGAAAGTGAAAGTGTAAATAGATGGATGTTTGTTAGAGTTTGTAGCATTAACTGCTGAACAGATCTCGATGAAATTTGGCATAGATGTAGAGTATAGTTTGGAAGAACACATAGGCTACTTACTTTCTTTTGTTTTTTTTTATTTAACACGGACGAAATTCCGGGTGAAACGTAGTCGTATATTAAACTATGCCCAGAAGAAAATTGATTAAGGCAAGGCATTTTGAAATTAAACAAAGTTTAGCGAACAACTGACTTCTTTTCAATAATAAGTGTAATCTAAATAATTTTGCCATATACTTTTATTGCTAAGGGAGTTCCTTAGTGTAGGTTTTTAGGAAGCAAAAAAGATTTTACTAGCAAAATTCAGCAGTTATAAACGATTTATCTTAAAGTTGCCTGCTCCGGACGTGTCAAGGCCTGGTTTACAAGATAAATTGATGTAGTTATAGGCCGGTGTAGAATTACCGACGTGCCCGCTCCCTTATTGAATAAAAGGAAAACAGATTTAACTGACTTACGTATTTTTAAATATACGACACCAAATCCAAATCTGTTCCTACAAATTTTAAATTTGCACAATTCTGTAAAAACTATTTATTTATAGATTAAAAATTAAGATGGATAAAATTCAATAAAAATAAACTCTATATCGCTCACATAAATATAACATACTAGCCTTCGTCCGCGACTCCGTACGCGAGGAATTAAACAAAACAATATGAAGTAACTTATGTGTCCTTCCAGACCATGCTCTAGATCTATGCTAAATTTCATCCAGATCCGATCAGCCGTTTTGGGTACAAACTCTAAAAAACATCCATCCATCCATCTATCAGAACTTTCGCATTTATAATATTACTAGCTTTCGCCCGCGACTCCGTCCGCGTGGAATTAAAAAAAACAAAAGTGGTTAGCCTATGTGTTCTTCCAGATTATCCTCTACATCTGTACCAAATTTCATCGAAATCCGTTCAGCCGTTTGGGCTATAAACTCTAACAAACATCCACCCATCTGAACTTTCGCATTTATAATATTAGTAAGATTCAATTTAGTTATTGAGTCATTTTTCTGAAGGCCTACACAGTTACCATTTAAAAAAGTTAAAACAAGCGTCTGTCGTATCATAAATATAATTTCTCATAAAACAACATTTAACTCTTACTCGAGCGCTATAAAGAACTTCCCATATTTATTGCTATCTTATAAATTCATTGTAAATTATTTGCAATATTCTTGCATACACGTTATTTTGCCAAAGAACAAAAGAGATTTCTGTTTAGTTAATTACATTTTGCCAGCAGATATAAGTAGAGTCTGTTTAAAATGAATTTATTTATTTACTTTCATCTGTATTTGGATGAAAAGTACTAACGTTTTAGAGGATACAAGAGAAAACAGTTAACTGCAGGGTAATTTTTGTATTAAATCAAAAATGTAATGATGAGAAAAGATTTATTGTATGTATCGAAATAACTCAAAATCTCCTAGACCGATTGCATATTCTTTCACCAATAAATAGCTACGTTATCACTGAGTAACATAGACTATATTCATTATAATTTTCAATTCCGGGCGGAAAAAGACGCGAGCAACAGCTAGTGTTAAATAAATTAATTCATAAATCAACACACTAAGCTTGAAAATTACTAAAGTGCTTACACACCATTGATTTAATAACATAAATGTGTCATTAATTCCCTTACGATGTTTGTTATAGTTATAGTTTTAAAGATTAAAGTGTACACTCGGCGCCATCTAGCGCTTAAAATTTAATCTTCCCATTAAATCAACAGTACCGAATTAAATAGGACATTATGTCTTACAGAATTTATTCATTTCTGCTCTCGTAATTTTAACAGTGATTAATATAACCTCAACTTGCGTATCTAATACCAAAACGTGTACGAAAACGTGAATTTGAATCCAATTTTCTTAAAACTGTTATAACTAATAGGTTTTTTCCAGTGAAAACGAACGGTTAAATATTAAAAATAAAGGGTAAGATCTATTTGTGTCTTTCATAGTAATTAGAATATAAGAGATCATTTTTTAATTTACTATATAAATTTAGACAAATACAGAAGAATCGATCTCTTCCTCCTATTGGAAGGTCGTTTAAAAACAATTTTGATTACGTAGCACTACAAAAACTTACAAAATATTTGACCGTTTATCATTGTAGCGCATTGTAAGAACGAGGATAAAATTGGGAAAGGGATAAACGGCAATTATTATTCTGTATTTAACCTTGTTAAATATAATCCCTTTGCTGCGCCCAATATCACGCAGTACGACGCCACTGAAACAAATGTGAATCGAGAACGTTTGCACAGTTCTAATTAGTTACGAACGAAGATAATTGCTAAATCATCAAAACCATTTCGACATTTATCTTCGAGCAGTATTATACTGATCATTCCACGAGTAATATTATAAATGCAAAAGTTTAGATGGATGTATGGATGTTCGTTAGAGTTTGTAGGCTGAAAGGCTGAACGGATCTTGATGAATGGTATAGATGTAAAGGTCAGTCTGGAAGAACACATTGGCTACTCACTTTTGTTTTTTTAATCATCGCGGACGGAGTCGCGGGCGAAAGCAAGTAATAAATATTATTATAATAAAACGTAAACACACACTTCTTTGTTGCCTAAGATGTCAGCAATTTCAGCATATTTTTCAATAATTCTTTTTTAACAAAAAACCCTACATTTCCGTCACGCTTTAGGCTATATATTTTCACGCCATTAAACTTAGGGGGTAAATATTTTGGATAAAATCTTCTAATGTGGGAAATAGACCATAAGTAGCTGCCTACAAGCAAGCAAAGTTGCCATGGTTTGTCATCATGTCATGTCATTTTGACATTTGCAATTGATAATTTGACACATGTTAACAATAAAATAAAATTTTCATAATTTTATGCTGATGAAGTCGCAAGGGAACAGCAAGTAAATATTATAACAGTGGTAGAGTATGCAGAAAATGCTCGGACTTTATATTAATAAAGATTTACAAGGAATTAATAGGAGTCTATCATACGTTGACGGGCTGCAATTTATTTAACGATATACTTCCTCGCGAGGATAATGCATAGTCTTAAACCAATTTATTACGGTTATATGTATTTTGTTACATGCTAAATGTAAAGCAACAATTGTGCCATAAGTACTTTGAAAGATCTTCGAAATAAGCGTAAAAATAACTCAGATATGATATGTATTTTTTATAGTTAAATATATTTTATCAAAATTTTATAAAAGACTAGCTTTCGCCTGCGACTCCCTCCGCGTGGAATTAAAAAAAAATTAAGTAGCCTATGTATTCTTCCAGACTATCCTCTACGTCTATGGCAAATTTCATCAAAATCCGTTCAGCCGTTTAGGCTACAAACTCTAACAAACATCTATCCATCCATCCATCTAAACTTTCGCATTTATAATATTAGTTTGTTTGAATTAACTTTTGTAGGTTACATTTTTGAGCTATTTTGTTTTAAAACGGGACGTTAAAAAAAACTTTTCAGTTTTATTTTAAAAGGAATGCCTCGAAGATGTTAACATTTTAACTGCTCTTGATCTTAACACAGAGAAATATTTGTATTTTATTTTTAGTTATCATTTGTGACGCGGAGAGATGTATCGTGAAAACGACATGTTGAACTAATGAAACCCGACAATTTATTGAAAACACGTTGGTTGGTATATTTTTGTGCTATTTTATGTACTGCTTTTAAACTCGCGGCTAAAAATATCAGCGTGAACGATAAATGTAAAAGTAAAACCCTTTAAAACTCCATCAACCCTTAGAATTGTTGGTTAGAAAACAATACCACTAAGTATTAAATATATTTCTGTAATAATATTACGTACGTCAAAATACACAAAGTTGTGTGTAAAGGCTTTCCAATAAGACTAAGGAACATCGAATGTGAAGAGAGTCTCACATACCCTGTGTCTTTTTTCTAAGGTACCTGGGATGCGTAATGATTTTCCTTCTTAAAAAATATATACTTCTGCTGGGTAATGTCAAAAGTTGACCGATGTTACACAATACTGTGTAACATGCTACACTCTTGCAGGGTATCAGGGACGCAACGAGCTCGATGCAAACGTTACACCACGTAACGTCGGTTAGTAACCTTTTAATTATTAAGACCTGCTACAAATATTTTAACTATGAACTGAATAGTCCAACTTTTCATCTTCCTCCTTATCCTACTCCCGTAGGGTCGGCGCAACAGGTTTTTGTCTTCCACATAATTCTGTCATACGTCATCTGTCATCACTCCCTTTTTGATCATGTCACCTTTCACGCAATCCATCTCTTTCTAGGTCTACCTCTGGTGGTTTCGTACTAAACAGTCCAACTCTTTAGTTAAGATTGTCAGAACTGAGATCGGTCTTTATGTTTTTAATATCTGTGCGTATTAATATTTAACGTATTATTTTTAATATCCATTATGGCCCAACGCCAGTACGCAATGTACACAAACATTTTAATGTGACATCTATCTGAATGCCAACTGAAAGGGTCCGTTAACAAGATAGTTTGTTTTAATTAAAGTTGCCTGCAAAATTATGTATCCGCGGTATTGTTTATTACAAAGTACGAAGATTACATTCAAATATTATTTTAAATGTTACGGAGTATGTCTTATTTGATTTCATAATTAATATGTCCTGGGCGCAGAAAGTCAGTCCTATTTTTTGAAATAAAATATGTAACCTATATCTATACTAATATAATAAAGCGTAAACACACACTTCTTTGTTGCCTAAGATGTCAGCAATCACAGCATATTTTCGAATAACTCTTTTTTTTTATAAAAAGCCCTACACTTACATCACTCTTTAGGCTATATATTTTCACGCCATTAAACTTAGGGGGTAAATATTTTGTATAGATACACTAATGTGGAAAAGTGACCATAAGTTGTTGCCAACATCAAGGAAGCAAGATTGGCAAGTTTTGTCATGTCATGTCATTTTGACATTTGCAATTGACAATTTGACACATGTAAACAATAAAATAATTTTATGCTGATGAAATCGCGCGGGAACAGCTAGTGTAAATATAAACAAAAAGGCGTACAGCATACTTTTAAGTTAAAACACCGGAAGAAATAGATTTTATAACTAACACTGTCTGCCATACGTCTAGAGCTTTCGGCCAAATGTTTATTGAATTGAAGATTTATATTCCAATAAAGTTTCATGAAGAATATTTCCAATAACCTATTTTTAAGGAACATTAAGCTGGTTACACACGAACGTTTGAACTGCACAGTGCTACTATTTTACTCTCAGGATTGTTCGGTTAAAACAGGACGTGTGTAGCTGGCTTAACATCGTAAAATACATCGTCATCTTATGATTTAGTTTACAAGAATGTAGATTAAAAAGGTGTTACGGTGATCGGTAGCATACCTGCAAGTCGCTGTAAATCGTATTATTAAAAAAAAATGTTATGTGTAATACGAAGATTTATTAAAAGCATAGCATCACAATATTATTACAACCAACAACTACTACTATAATATACCTTAAATATAACATTGAATGAGTTTCTAGAAAGTAATAAACCTTTGAGTTAAAACATAGTTTATGTACCGTACGCAAGCGTTGTCATTAGAATAGAAATTCCAAGAAATTTTCTTTACTTTCAATAAGTATGTGGGTTAACTTCGTAGAGTTAATTTCGTTCACCAATTTTTCGTAGAAACATGAATATCGTCATATACAATTAAGGTAGAGATCAAGAGATTTATACGAGTTAGATTTTTAATATCGTCATTATGAAAATGCCCATCAAAGTCTAATTAAATAAAAATTTACAACTTTTATATACTCGCACTAAGTGTACCATTAGTAGTTATTACATATTTACAACAGAGATGTTATGACATAGTTACATTATACGAGCTTTGCAATAACCTCCCTTATCGTACATAGTTACACCTTGGAATATAAGCTCAAGGTCATTGCTACGATAAAAGCTTCAAGAATATACTAAGAACTTACAACATTATTAAAACTGTTTACAATTATAAAAATACAAAAAACTCGCTTAACGTTAGTATTCAATCCAAAATTTCTTAATCTGGAAAAAATTATCTTTCGACTCAGTGTGGAAGTTTATGTAGGGCGCGGTAAGCAACCTTACCTTACAAAAAAGGGGGCCACAATAACAATCTTTAATTTATCTCTATTTTGAGAATGAGACATGAAAACTTTTGTAATGCAAAATATGACAATAACTAACTCAGTTATAACGTGAATGCCTCCAAAAGAAGGGAGAATGAATACTTATAAATTAGCGCATACCATCCTTCGACCACATTACCACTTAACTATGGGTGGGATCGTGGTCAAACGCTGATTTTCAATCATAAAAAAATAACTCGTTCATCGTGTTTCGGCAGTGGAAACAATAAGAATCAACAATTTAAGTATTACAAGTATATCGTTGCGGTAAACGTTTAACATAATAATGATCCAAAAGAAAATTTATTATTATAGCACCGGAGTCAGTGCGCTGAATAAAAGATACCAGTCTCTTAATAGCCTATTGAAGCTACATCGTGCTGATGACGACAGAATATTTGCACGGAATGTTAATAAACTCGTAACATGCATTGCTTTGGTATGCTAAAAGAGTGGGAAGAGGTGGTATTTTCACTTTCGATATTTTGTTAATAGCTAAATTTATCAAAAATTTATTAAAAACGCCTTAAATACGTGTGACGGTGACGGTAGCGACTAGTTTCGGATCCGTCGGCAGTCCATCTTCAGGCCGTGTGTTTGTTTTGATTTCTTCGCGCCGGCCTCCAACGAGTACGAGTTGGATTTTTAGATGAATGGATGCATATTTGTTAGAGTTTGTAGCCTAAAGTGCTGAACGGTTATCGACGAAATTTGGTATAGATGTAGAGGATAGTCTGGAAGAACACTTAGACTTACTTTTGTTTTTTAATTTCACGCCGACAGAGTAATTTTAACAAAAGCAACGAGAGATTTGTTGAAATCATTAGATTTCATATTCAAAACGTAACAAAAAGTAGTAAAATCACTATTTCGCGTGTACCACTTCATTTCTTTTGAACGTTTATACAGGATGTTGTAAGTTTATTCAGTTGTTTAATTGCGCTGTCTCAGTAAGACATTATCGAATTTAATGTTTATTTGCTTGTGGTTTTTGGGTAACATTCTCTAGCTGGCGCACATAGCTTTCAACCCACGTAATGTAAATTTAAATCACAGCAATGAAATTAATCGAACACATTAAAACATTTATTCGAACATACTGTACGATAGACCGCGATTATAGTCAAATGGTGGGAAAAAGTGAGTCGCCTAATGTAATGTTGCTAGCAAAAATCTACATTTACATCAAAAGAATGTCAAGAAATTATCAGCTTTTAATATATAAAAAAGCTTGCAAATTGGTTCATTTAAATTTTCAATTAACTAACATCATTTTCTTTTATATAGACACTGCAAAGAAGAGAACAAAAATGTTACAAGATCATTAAAAAGATTGGAACCGGTAGAAACAACATTATTTTATCGAAATTCTAAAAATAAATGTCAAAGTATGTAAAATCATATCAAAAAAAGAACTGGCAAGCATCAAGGAAAAGGGAACACATCTATTACAATAATGTTGTTGATATAAATAATTTTATGTTGTTTTCCTCTTGATAAATCTATCTTCGCGTCTACATAATAAAATCATTAAAATACATGTAGCAGTGGTAGACAAAAATGATTTGTACCTTCCCTACATCTTGTAGGCTCAAAATACGTGTAGTGGGAGAATTCAGAAACAAATAAAACTCAAAGCGTTAATTTTGAAAGCCGATTCAAAAAACATATAGAGAAAGCATAGTTCACATTTGAAATATTTTTCACATAATCTCATTAGTGCCTGGTTTCCGATAGTCCAAATCACAAATAAATAATTCCAACACTGAGAAGCGTCTCGGTATGTCAAATTTTACATTGAGTTATTACCGTACAGAGAAAGTACCGGTGAATAAATGCTGTTCCCTGTCTAACATTTCTTAAATGTCTATGTTTGCGAAAAATTTGTGATAATTTGTATGGTTTACAACAGGCTTTACTATTACTATGTTATCGTGGATTTTCTATCTTTTTTTTAACATGAAACTAACTATAAACTAAATATGTTCACGTTTTATATCCTTGATCCGTTACGACACCAATACAATAAATCATTAAATGACAATGCGTATTCGAGAAACGAAAAGTGCATTGAAACTTTATTGAGTTTCGAAATAAATAAAACTTTATTGTTTTGAAGTTGTACAAATGTAAAGATGCCATTCGTGTCATAAACAGAAACGCATCAATGATTTTGACAACAGTCACGGAGTCATAAAAAACCCGAAAATATGCGTGATTGGCATACAAACCTACAGTGTAAAATTTTCACAAATAAAGAATAACAAATGGCTGTATTTTTCAAACTTTTTCGTCACTAGTGCTAATAGCCTAGTGGTATTCGACTATTGACAACTGTATCCTAGGACAAGCTTAGAGTTTAGTTGGTATGGTTAAAGGAAATATTAGTAAATTAACAAAAAGCTGCTAATATTTTTTAATAAAAAAAAAATCAGTTTCAACCTTGCAACGTTGTTATGAGTAACCAAGCTTAATAATCTTACGAAAAACTCAATTTATAATATTGTAACTATGAAAACGGCACTATAATTTCGTTTTAAAAACCACCGCACTTTGTAATATCTGTTATGAATGTTACTGGACATTTTATAAAAAGTATTGCTTATTAAATTATAAGAATATCACTGGAGAGCTGTAATATTTCCAACTAGAGTACCTCACCTTGGCATACGATAGCTACGCTGTAAACTTATGATAATGAGAACAGCTAACAAAGTCAGAGTATAAACAAATCTTAGTTATTGTCATCCTGTTAGTATTTTTCTCTTATAACGTTAGTACTGACTTTTAGCGAAGGTTCTAGAAAATATGAATACTCCCATGCTTTCATTGCTACATTTTTCACATTTACAGGTTGTCTAACCATCTACAACTTTATTACCTTATCTTTATCATGTTTTATCTGTATTTTTTCAGAGAGAATAATGATTTGTACTTAATCAAGATATCATCAAGTCAGTGTACCTTTGTCAAAACAACATCAAAACAAATCTGTAATACACCAATCCGTTAGACAATCGAGACATTATCAATCCTATAGCTTATAGCCTATTAAATTTACTATTGCCGCGTGACGTCACGTCTCGAAGCCTTATTAAATCGTGTTGACGCACAATGTGCGTTATCACATGTAGACGAGAAGTGCTACGAGCTGTAGTGATTCACTACTACTACCCGATACCAAAAATGTGCATGACAATCGTATTTTTGTTGTAAACACTTCATAATCTCCTAGTGGCTTACGTTAGATTTCCTTGAATTATGTTGAACTTGCCCAGGGAAACACGATCGAGCAAATAGTAATATGAATTACTAGCTGTTCACGTGCGATTTCATTCGGATAGAATTATGAAAATTTTATTTTGTTGTTTAAATGTGTCAAATTATC